CAGCCATGACTGACTGTGAGGCCACCATTTGGGACACTTCTTAGTCAATGAAATTGTCCCACTTCTCCTTCTGTTCAAAACCAGCTCTCATAGAGCCAAAGCTATTACCCAGATGCTTGTCAGACAGACACAAAAGCACTTTGCAGTATGTTTTGGCTTGCTTTTAGGGGATTTCCTGCCAACAGAGCCATGGCATTTGCCCAAGTTTACCATGAACTTGAGGGCAAATTTCTCTGTTCATACCCTTGGAACGCTGCAGAAAACATTTTCCATTTTGCACAGGATAAAAGGAGCTTCCCTCAACGGCATTGCTGATGGCAACATCCCAGGCAGCAAATACAGTACAGCATCAAAGCAACCATTGCTCCCTCCTCTTTCATGAGGAAGGAGTGCTCTGGTTTTTTAATTATTAAACTGGTTTGTTCTTACTTATTTTAAAGTTTGATCAAAACTATGGTTAGTGTCCTAGAAGGGGTTTTCTTGAAGCTTTAAGCATGTTCTTTCACAGCTGGTAGGAAACATCTCTGGTGTACGACCATGTGATGGGGCTCCCTTTCCCAAGAATGCTGTAAATGTATCAGCAGCCTTCTCTTTCTTCAGTGCTTCCTCTGGTTGTGAGAGGTGGCCTTCATGGGACCTAGTTCCATTCCCAGGTGTTTCTGCAGCTTCCATTCTGACTTCCTGAGCTTCATGCTCATGTCAGGCTTACAGCTCTGAGCTTACAGATCGGTGCTGATTCTTTTACTTTTATTAAAGGTTTTGGTGCTCTGGCAGGGAAATCTCTTGGCAATAATCAAGTCCTCAGCTGTGTCTGTTTCACCTTTGCTTCCATCACTACCCACCTGTAGGTATCCCAGTGAATTTAACCAAAAATATAGCAGTGTTTCTCAGGACTCAGTTGTTTTTGGGCTGGAGAGTGTTGCAACTTCTGACTCTTCCATAAACCAAGAGCAAGACTGAAATTGCCTTCAAGTCTAATGGTCTCCTGGTGTCTGTTTCGCTCCAGACTGGTAGTTTGCTTCTGCTCTGACTGTCCATCAGAAGTTGTATTTCCAAAGTCACTGTTTGTTTTTTATCTGTCATGTTGTCCTAAGATTGCCACCAACTTTTGTTCCCAGTGGTCACTGCCAGATGGCTGTGGAAAATACTCTCAAATCAGACATTTAATGGCAAATTTGGCTCAGAATGTGTCTCCCAACCATTTTTTCTTTCCAGTGAGTACAGCAGTAGCTCAACACAGTGCTGGTGAAAAACAGCTTGTATCCATTTGGGAAGAAAAAACATCTGGAAGAGCAAGAGGAAGGCATTTGGCAACATTGAAGGCTATTGGGGACATTGAACACAACCAGAAGCTCAGTTTTACTTGGCTTTTAGAGGCTTTTTAATACCAAACTTTAGTTGCCTCAGTACATCTTATCCATTTTCAGCACAAGGCAGAATTGGTACCTGTGTTTGCCCTAGAGGAGGGTTAGTGTGTGCTGCTGCTGTGCTTGGCCCTTGCGTTTCCTGCTCATTTAGTGTTGTCTTTGGGTGAATTTGCAATTCCCCTCCTGCCAAATGAGCTGCTGGCTGCATGGGCCAGTGGTTAGCTCAGCTTACCTCCCTGCTGCTGATTTGAAGCCAAGCCTCACCAGGTGTATAAATGCACAGCTCAGTCATGAACATCTTCACTGTTCACTCCATACTTTTAGACATAATATTTACAATTGCACTTGGCCTTGGAGCATAGGTTTATTCTGAAAAATGACCATACTATGTATTTTCTAGGCTTTTGCAATTTTCTGTTCTGCAGCCAAAACTGCAGCTGTGCCCAAACTCCTGGCAAGGGCGTGTTGTAGAGCCTTTTATGGGGGCCCTGAACTCCCAGCGCTGTACTGGACTTGCAACTAGAGCTGCGCCCAGTCCTTCTCCCAGCACTGGCACCTGTGCCCAGATGACAACCAGGGAGTGCCTCATGTGCCTCAGCTCCCAAGGGTGTCCCACACTGTTGCTTCTGATGCACTGGGGGCTTTCCAGCCCTGCGGTGCAGATGTGCTGTTGGGTGGGGACATGGCCATTAGAGAGGATGCCAGAAGCCAGGCCAGCAAATGACTCTGGTGGGCACATGCTGCTGATCTGTGATCATCCAGGCAAGTCCTCCAGGCTCTGCTGAGTCCTCCATCCAGGCTCATGCTGAGTCAGGGGTTGAGTAATTCCTAGAAGCTCTAGGAAGTGTCAGCAGTTAATGAAACCAGGCAATAATGTGGTATTAGTGGGTTCTTTTTCTGGAAGTTCTCATGAACAGATGAGCAGATCTCATCTGCTCACATTTGCGAGCATGCACAGACCCTTTGCAGGAGAATGAAGGTGTTGTTCCTGGCACTGAGGCCAAATCACAATCCACTAAATTATGGTGTGTTTACTTAAATGCCACCTGCGGTTTCAGTAGGATTCAGCATTAATTTATTATCCTCAGCCGTTGCATGTTGTTACTGCGTGCTGTTAACAGAATTGCCACACCTCTTCACAGGAATGGCTGAGCTTACTCTGACCCCTACTCTGAGCTTGTGCATCAGTTTGTGTGCAAAGCACTTTGGGACTTTTTTTTGGAATGGGTAGAGAAGTTTTCTAAAGAAATACTTTTTTAATCTTCGGGATGCAGGCTTGGGTGGGAGCAGTTATTCCCTGCAGAAATATTTGGCTGCTACAGCTGAGATTGCTTAACAGTGGCAGTTCTCCAGGACATCTTAACTAATTAAGTGCTGCTTGCTACCATTGTATCTAGACTCCTTGGGAAAGGACATGATCAAATGTGTTAAAAAGCATCTGTTTTCATAACTGTAGCTAAAATCCCTGGATAGCTGGGTGTAATTTTCCATTGTTATTGAACACATGATCATGGACTGCTCTTTGAAAATAAGGAGTACTTACAAGATGAACTGCAGGCCTGCCTCAGTGCGTGGTGGCATGCTGTGCCAATGACCTGGTTTTGATGAGTGTATTCTTGCTTCCTCAGCAAGCAAGAGCCAAGGGACTTTCTCTTAGTGAGAAATAAAGTGTATTTATTGGTGAGAGTCTTCAAACTGTGAGACAGTTGAAGTATTGCTTTTGTGTACCAGGATTTTGGTAGTGATAAAGGCTACAGAAATTGTTGAAAATGTTTGACTTTGGAGTGAAGGGTGGACTGGATCAATCATTTTCGTTTATATAAAAAGGCTTTTTTTAGAAACAGGAGGGTATTTGGAGGTCAGTGGCCACATTCTCATTTTAGTTTGGGATGTGTAGAGAGCATCTTGATTACTTTATCCTTTGCTTCTCTGGAGTGAAGATCACAATCTCTTCTCTGGTCAGCATGGTACCAGCATGGTGCTCTGGTCAGCTGAGCAGGCTGGCCAGAGAAACTACCCAGGAACCTTCATTTCCAGCCAAGAAAAAAAAAGGGAGTGGGAGAATATGTAATACCTTAATTTGATAGCAGGTTTTGATAGGTTTGGTGGTAAGGCAGGTTCCAGTTTGATTAGGGAAATAGATTGCACAAGGCAGAAGAGAGATTTCAGTTTGCTGTGCCAAAATACATGAGGAATTTGGGTTACAACACAGGGAGGTGAAAGTCCCCACTCAAAATGCTCAGAAGCACGATATGGCACATCCAGTTCCCCTACAAACAGCCCAGTGCAGGTCTCTGAGATGGATGATACGACTGCCCTTTGTCCTGAGCCAGAGCAATACTTCTTTCATTCTTCAAATTCCTAAGCTGTTCACCTTTCCCCACCTAGCTCTTAGCAGAGAAAACATAGCAAACAACACAGAAGATGCTGAAAACATCAAGGTACTGTAAAGGCATGACTAGAGGTTTTTAGTGGAGAGAGAAGAGCAATTTGATACCACAGGACAGACCGGCCAAGCTGAAAGTGGGCTGTGGCATTAGGAATCTCCATTTTGATTGCTTGGGAATAATAAAGAGTGGCAGAGGTGTTACAGAAAGAAAAACAGTGTTGTGATCTCTAGCAAGGAGTGGCTGCCATGCCTTTGTGTTTCTAAAGGAAAAGCTCTTGCAGTATCTTTAGATGCAAAAACCGGGCTTAAAAAAAGCTTGCAGACACTGGGGTAGGTCACGCTGCAGGCTGCAGTTGCAGGAGACAAAAGCCTAATCTGGAGTGAATGTTCCAGCTTTTTGAAGTGTGTCTCGGAAACATTTTGTAGTGCATGCAAGTGAGAAATTTGTGGAAAGGGAGAGTTATTCCACATGTTGGAGGGTGTGGGTAAAGTTCAGGAAGTGGCCTTTTAAAATTCCCTTTTAAGGAGCAGTGTACATAGAGTACAGCAGTGCACAGAAACCAGCCATGACCACAAACAGAGCAGAAGTTAGGTTTCTTGAGGATTCAGAGAGGGAGGCTAGTTTAATTTAATTTTGGATAATTTAAGACATTGAATACTAAAATAAGTTTTAAAAATATTTTGAGACATTTATGAAAAAAGAGCATGTTTTTGTTAAACATAACAATGAAGGATTTGGGCTGGAAATTAAAAAGCAGTGCAAACAAAAGCAAAACATAGTGCTTGGGGTTTTTCTCTTCTTCTGTGGTCAATCTGCAGAGTGTCTTTTGTGTCTTGATTGTTATTTTCAAACCAAAGTGACCGTGGGAGGCAAGCTCAATGCTATTCACAGCTCTGCTCATTTTTGGCTAGAAGAAATGGTAACCAAAGGGTAGGAGCAATGGAGGGGGGAGCCCTGTCTCCATATTTGGTTCTTTAGAGTTGTACCCATTGAACATGATCCACATCCTACCAAAGTGCGTTCAGAGTTATCCATTTCTGGCAAGGCTGTTGGAGTTGCAGTGTCCCACACAGGCAGGAAGGTCAGTGTTGAAGCCTCCTGACCTAATGCATATCTCTGCCTTCAGAGCAGTGCAGGTTCAGGTCCAGGCTTTCAGATGATCTTCTCCATTGGCTTCTTGGGGTTTCCTGCATTTGGATGCAGCTCTCACACAATGGCTAACACTTACTCTCCTCTGCTGCAGGGTTTTGGCTGGTGTGGACCATCATCATCATCCTCAGCTGCTGTTGTGTTTGCCATCACCGCCGCACCAAGCACCGCCTCCAGGCCCAGCAGCGGCAGCACGAGATCAACCTGATCGCTTACCGGGAGGCCCATAACTACTCAGCCCTGCCCTTTTATTTCCGTATGTACCTCACCCTGCTTTGCCTGGAGACCGTGGGGAGCACAGCAGCAGCGAGTTTCCCGTCTTAGGTGGAGGGAGGGGGCAGCAGTTGGGCTCAGCAAGAGGCTGTGGGAGCTTTGCTGCCTAACTGTGGCGTGCAGTGAGGAGATGGTGTTGGATGCATTTGAACCCCCTTGAGTCTGGAGTTGAACCACACCACCTACAGCACCTTCACACCCACCCCTGAGAGTGTAGTGATTCCGTGAATGTTTTTCTGCAAAGGTTCTTTACATACCTCATTCAGGATTTTATGGATGTTCCTCCTTTCCAGTGTGGACTTGCTGCTCGTGGGACTGAGGTGTGGGAAGTGGCTTCACAAAATTTGGTCACACAGACTGGGACAGAGTCTGAGCAGAGACTCTGCTGGCTCCCACCCTTTGCTGTGATTCCCAGGCCACACTGCTGGTGAGCAGCCTTAGGACTTTGTGTGAAGGAGCTGTTACCCACAACTCAGGGAAAGTACAATCTCTTTGTGCTCTCCTTGTGTTCTGCTATGCTGTGCTAGAACAGCAAGTCTCCTTCTGACTGGAGGTACCACAGCTGAGTTTCCTCTGACACTGTTCAATTGAATGTATGAACTTGCTTTCCTTGTTAAACTCTGACAGTCACCTCAGAAATCTTCCCCAGCAGCCTTTTCCTCCCCAGCCCCAGGGATATGCAATTGCACATGGAAAATTGCAGCGCTATCCTTAAATGTTTCCACTGTTTAAGTACATTCTGTCTATATAGACTATTTTGTTGCCTCTTTAGAAATAAACAACATTTTTCATGGGTTTGAAAGGCTGTAAGTACAATAAGCCAAACTCTTTTGCCAGTACTGCCAATTTATTCTGACTGCACCAGAAGAATTGAATCCAGCATTAAAACAGCAACCAAAAGCCAGGATCTTCAAGTTCCTTGTAACTACCCATGTCTTTTTATATTTGCACAATGCTTTGTGAGATGAAATCTTTGCTCTTGAAAGTGGAAATTGAGCTGAGGCAGTGTTGGAAAGGCCTGGGGAGTTGTTCCCTCCAGCCAACACAGGCCACCCCCCAGAATGGTTTATGGGGCTGTGTTGGGGTAGACAGTCCAGGGAGGGTTGCCTGGTAAATATAGAGAGAGCCAGGAGATCAGTCTGCTGTTCCCAATTGTCCATCTCCTCCGGTAATGGTGCACTCCTCTGCCGTGTTTGCTGCTTCTCTAAAACATGACACGTCTCACCTGGGACAAGTTCTGGCACCCCTTTGTAGAGCCCATTGTGCTGTTCAGCGGGAAGGTGCTGGTAGGTGACAAATGCCATACTGACCTGTATTAGTGACTCGTTTCCTGAGATAAACTGCTCCTGAAATAACTTCTTCTCCTTGCCTCCCACTTCTAGGGTTTTTGCCAAACTATTTGCTACCTCCCTATGAGGAAGTGGTGAACCAACCGCTGACCCCCCCGCCCCCGTACAGTGCCTTACATCAGCAGTGTGTCCCAGCAGGCAGCAGTAGCACAATCCCAGACACGCCCAGGACCCTGCAGCCAGCACAGAGCAGCTCTGCAGCACCCAGCAGCAATAACAGCAGTACTGACAGCACCGGGGCGCCCGGCCGCGGGGACCCCGAGCCCTCCGCCACCGTGCTGGGCGAGAGAGCCGTCGCCAAAATGCAAAGCGTCGAGCCGGGCAGTACCAGCACAGGAGCCGAGTTGGTGGAGAGGGCCGGTCCTGATAAGGATACAGAGTGCAAGGAAGAACTGCTGAAAGGTTACAGCTCTGAGAGCTTAGAGCAGAGCAGCGCCATTCCCGACGCCAAGGACAAGACCCCGGGCAGGCAGCGCCGCTTCACCGGCGACTCAGGCATAGAAGTCTGTGTGTGCAACCGGGGCCATCACGACGACGACCTCAAGGAGTTTGACGGGCTCATCGATGACGCTCTGGACGGGCCCCTGGACTTCTGTGACAGCTGCAGCGGCCGTCCCCACGGGGACGAGGAGGAAGGGCTTTTCAGTGCCACGGAGGAGCAGCACCGCGAACACAGCCACCACCACCTGCCCCGGCAGCCGGTGTGTGTACTCTTGAACACAATAAATGAGCAGGACTCTCCAAACTCTTGTACCAATAACTCCCCCAGTTAAGGTGGCGGAGTGGAAGGGGGAAAAAAAACAAATAAAAATGGAATAAGAGGATTAAAACTTTAACAGGAGGAAAAGGTGATACAACCTTCTTTTTTTTGTTTATTTTTCTTTCTCCCCTCCAATATAATATCGGGACTAGACCTCAAAGGCCCAGCTTGTGGGGGATGGGTCACTGGCTTTTGTTAATTGTATCTGCCCTGCTCCATAGAGCAGGGACTGATGTTTCTCAATGAGACCTTCTAAAGAATGGAATTTTTCCAACGGTGATTTTGGTGATGGTTATTACGAGTTTGTTGGTTTTAGTTTTCCGAAACACTGCTTTATCTTGCAATCAGTAAAACTCAGCAAATCTCACCCTGGGAGGATACCAGATCACCATAAGGCTTCAACGTCCAGGTGTCTTCCCAGAAGCAAGCAGCTTCTGACAGTGCCGGCAGTCAGTAGCCCAAGAGTTCTGGTTTGATATAGTGCTCTTGAGGCATTGGGGATTTCTTTTCATCTTTTTTCTTTCTTTCTTTCTTTTTTTTTTTTTTTCTTTCCTCATGTTAAGTTTCCCTGAAGCTGGTGAATGCCCAAACACATCAGCCATCAGCCCTATAACCTCTGGTGCTTCAGTGTTTAAAACAGCAGGTAGAAAGTTTCCCACTTGAAGCTGGTGACTGAAGGACCAGTTTCTTCTAGGAGTGTTAGTCTACCTTAGGCAGTTTGAAAAGAAAGGGTTTGCAGAAATTTGCCTTTATGTGTCATTTTTAAACGCAAGTGTGTTCCTTCAATGCCTCCAAGAGCACAGTTAGCAGTAGAATCCGGGCAGCTGGGCTGCCTTCCAAGTACTGTGGTCTCCGAATGACCTTTTCCCGGTGTGCTGCAAAAGGGCTTGGCTTTATTTTTGTCCTTTTTTTGCACCCCGATAGCAGCACACTGGAGTTCAGATGACAAAAGAACAGGGCTCTCCTTGGCCAGCGTGCCTTCAAGCTTTAGCGATGCATGTTGAACAAATGGAGACGAGAGCTCCGTCCATTGCGAAAGGGATGATTTACCTTGTTAGATGTGGAAGACCTGTGCAGTATTTTTTTTTTTATCCAAAAGTTTGGTGCGATTCTAATGATGACCACTTAAAGAAATGAATGTCTGTTTTCTTTCTTTTCATTTCTTTTTTTTATGGTGGCAACTGGCTACTGTATAATGTCTGTGAGTGTGTGTGTGTGACTGCAATCCATGCATGCGAGTCCTACTGGTAATATGAAAACCTGCTGTAAGACTGCAAGAAAATTTACTGTAGCTTTGCTTTAATAAACAGTAGAGATTTTTGTTAGTAACAACCTGAAGGAAGAAAAAAAGCAAAAAAAAAAAGGAAGAACTGAAACTAACATTCCCTAGAGTGCTCATGTGGAAGAGAGCACAGTTCAGACTATGTAACTTGTTCTCGGGATTTCTCCCCGTCCCTTTTATAATTATGGTCATCCAGATCATTACTGTTATGGGGAAAAAAACATTGAAACCTGAACTTGGACATACTCAGTTCTGATTGATTGAAAACCAAAATCAGTTTTAACTAAGGTGGAAACCAAAATATAATGCCTTTTCTGATAACTTGTCCATGTGTATGTGTATCATTTTGTGAACTAAGAACAAGATCTGTCTTTAGTTTGTGGATCTGTTACTCTACTTGGAGGTGTGTTGGCACTGGCTGGCTGCAATGCAAGGGAGGTGGTGCTTATGCCAGCATTTTACCTGCACATTTGATGAGAGCACTCTTACCTTACAGAGTTTGGAAGAATCTCACTCCTTTGCCCATCAAAGCCTTTCTCTTTCCTCAGAACAGCTGATAAGGACAGCTCTTCAGTTTGGTTCTTAGGGTGCTCTTAAAAATGAAGGACTTCAGTTTGGATTCAAGAGACCTCATTCCTGGATGTCTGGAGCCTGGAGACCTGGATGAGTGGTAACAGAGAGGCTGTGCGTGCCCCAGAGCCTGGCTGCGTGGGGGCTGGTCACTTCAGTTGTGAGCACTGACCACATGTATCTTTTGAGAAGATAATTAAAGATCCCCAGTGCCACCCCCAGGGATTCTGTATGTATTGGCACCTGGTTTTGTTCCTCACACCACAGAGGAGGCTAAAAAATCGTATCAGTCTTTAAGGAATGGGGTTTACTGCCCTAAGTCTTGGGGATGGTCCTGTGCCAGTGGGGGACCCTTTGCCAACATTTTTGTTGCATAAGGAATCTCCATATTTGCTTTCCAGCCATCCTACTAACGGCAGGCAAATCCTCTGGATGTGGAGGTAAGTACCAATAAGCCAAGCTGATGTTTCTAATTTTAAAAAGTCAGGAAGAAGCAGTGGTGTGCCTCTTCTGACTCCCGGAGGTTTTGGGGGCGTTTTGAGACCATAAAGAAATAAATGGGGCACAAACCACATCTCTTCAGCTCACAAGTGCCTGATAGCTTTCAGTGCTTTAGGATTTTAGACCTGCAGCCAAGGGGCAGCTGGTATGGGGAGAAGGAGTGGTGCAGGGCAGGATATGGGGCATGTGAGCTGCTTGGATATACCCCGACTGGTGCCTCTTCAGGCAGGCAGAGGACTCCCAAAGCTTCAACTTTGGAGCTTTAGAAAGGTGCTTGACTCTCACATGTATCCCTGTGTAGGAAGCCAGCATGGCCTGAAGAGAGCTCTTCTCCAGATGCACGCTGGAAAATGCTGGAGGTGTGAGGGCATGGGCAGATGTGCATCTCCAGCAGTGGAGTACCAAATCCCACCCATTCCCAGCTATAAGGGGCTTTTTATTGGGAGTCATGAATACATCATTTCCAAACTGAGTGGCAATAATGCTTCAGGTTTTACAGCAAATTAGTGTCAATCTCGTGCTTGGTGTTCTGCTTATGATGTGCTCTAGGTGTGGCTGCCAATACTCCTTGAAGTCTCTTTTTGCTGGAGTCCGCAGCAGTGTGGAGCTGCTTACACTGAATGTTTTTGGCCACTGAAGCTGGCTCCGAGGGCAAGGACCCAGCAGGTGTCCTGGTGGGCTGGGGTTGTATTGCCTGGGGACAGGTGAAGAGCACAGTGTGGTTGCTCAGCAAGTGTCCCCTGGGTGCAGTGAGGGCTCCTGGGATTGGTGGGTACTGCAGCATCTCCTTGGTGTTCCCAAGGGACTTTTCAGCTCTTCGATGATGCAGACTCCTCATCTGGGAGCACTGGTGTGATCTTCCTGCCACATATCATTGCATGTTTGTACAACCCTGTGGATGGGTGTTGGCTAAAGATGGAGGAGGAGGGAATTGGAATTGTGTCTTGATGCTTGCTGGCAACCTGCTCTCAGAGCTTTCCCTGCCTAACTGGAGGCTAAGGAAAGCCGAGGTGCTGTTAAGCCTGTGTGTTATGCAGTCATCAAAAGCTTCCTGAAGCAGGAAGCCTGGAGAGAAGCAGAATGAGTGGCTCCACTGCCAGCATGAGGCTGCTCTGCTGAGCAATGGGAGATGTGGGCTCCCTGGGCACCCCTCACCACTTGGGGATGTGAGTCAGTGGTTCTGAGTTCCTGCTCTGCACTGCCAGGGCTCCCCATCTATGCCTCCTCTGGTTCTCTGCATGCCCTGGCTGGGCTCATCCCAGCCTGGCCTGCTCCTGGCAGAGTTTGGCAGGGAGCTGGGGCACAGCCCAGCTCCGGTGAATAAACTCCTTTGCTGTTCTGAATGAGGCTGCTGCTTCCTGGCCCCCCATCACCACCTGTACAACACATCCCAGGGAGGCTTTTGCCACTGTTTTCTTTTTCTTTAGTTTATAAAGGAAAAGCCAGGCTGGGAGGGGGGGCAGACAGGCAGCCCCTGGATCAGGCAATCCCCACAGCATCTCACAGTGGGCAGCCTGGGAAGGCCAGGATGAGTAGCCTCTTGGTCAGAGCTGGTTCCCCCCATCCTTGCAGCACAGATCTGTTTTTATCAGATGGGACGGGTGCCCACTGTGGGGCCGTCGGGACGGTGGTGCAAGCACTGCAGTCTCTGTGCCGGGGGGGGGGGGGGGGGGGGGGTGACAGGCTGCCGGCTTCTTCTCTCGATTTGTTTTTGACCGGCAAACAGCTGTGTCCTGAGGTCTGTGCTTACTCAGCTCTCCTGGCCCCACGCCCGGTGCAGAGCCCGCAGGTATTCCAAGCGTCTCTGCTCCTCCTGGGCTGGCCGTCCTCTCCGGCACAGTCCAGGCTCAGCCGGTGCCTGGTGCAAAGAAAAGCCTCTCAAATTTGGAGGGCTTCTGAGCTGAGTCCTGTGGCGCAGCTGGGTCAGCCAAGTGCTGTGGGGGTGGCTTTGCCCCCCCAAAATAAGTTTGTGCAATGGAAAGGCTCAGGCTTGCTCTGCCCACTGCCCTCAGCAAGCTGCACGTCTGCTTCATGGTGTACCCAGCACACTGTGGAAATGAAAAACCTTCATTCTTTCCATCGTCACCAGCTCCTCCCTTGCAGACCCCCTTGGCCTCAGGGAGCTGAAGCCAGTGGCCCAGGTGAAGCTCCCTGCTGGAGCCAGGGGTTTGGGTGCAGCAGCACAGCCCCAGAGCAGCTGTCAGGATAGAAATACCAGCCGGGTGATTCAGCAGTGCTTCTGCCCACTCCCAGAGCAGGGAGCAGCCATGCCAGGGGCTGTTTACCAGCTCACAAAGTGCCAGGCAGCTCGTTCTGGGCACTGAATTTCCCCAGCAGCATCTTCTCCCGGTGGGGAGGAGGTGGGTTGGGTAGAGGGCAAGACACCCTGCAGCAGGGCCCAGCTTGGGGTGCTGGGATTTACAGCACGTGCTGGTCTCCCAGCCTAGGACAGCACATCCCAGCCCTGGCAAATAGGGAAGGTGGATTGCAAGAGGCTGTGGCTGGAGGCATTCTCCAGGTTAGAAACATCCCAGGTTCAAAGGTCCCCATTTCTGCCTCAAGGTGCATTTAGCACTTGTGTGGGTGCATTGGCAAACAGCAAGGTGTCAGCCTCTTGTTGATTCTGGCAAGGAGAAAATCCTTTCCCTTACCAAGAGCAAAATTAAATGCCTTAGCAAAGGGGAACAAATGTTCTGGAGGTCCTGTTGATGCTTCTGAAGGCATCACAATGTTATGGAAGACTGCAGTGGAGCCTCCCTGCCAGTGTGTTCTGCCAGTGACAGGCTCTGGGGCAGGGGAAGGACAAGGCTGGCATGGAGGTGCCAATCCCCAGGGAAGCTCAGGGCATCATGTTTAGCCAAGTTTTCCTAAAGCCCATTCTGAGTCCTGTCCCCCTTCACCCATACAGCTTCAGTGTGTCGTAGCAGAAGTAGAGGGATTGGAAACCCAGTGGCACCCCTGGTGTGATGGAAACAGGCAGAAAAGCAGGGGGGTATGTGGAGTTCAGCCCTGAGAAGCCATCAGAGACTGTACAAAAGCAGTGGGGCTGGACTCCTGCTGTGCTCCCTCTGCCCAGCTTCTGGTGGCTCAGCTGCTCAGATCAGCCTGAAGATTGCCCTTGGGACAGGCATGTGCATGGCAGTTCTTCCTCCAGGCCCTCCCAGGAAAATGGACTGGGAGGAGGGAGGATGCTCCCAGTATTGTGCCAGGCTGCAAATGCATTGCCTTCATCATCACCCTCGTGCCACAGGCTGACAGGACCCATTTGGCATCGGGTGCCGGTGTTGAAGGGGCTGCATGAAAGCCGAGTGCTGGGGGTTTGAAAGAACTCATCCACACTGAGCAGGAGGTTCAGTGGTGGGGAAGTTTATGTCTGTTTTCCTGCCTGCCAGCAAGAGAGAGGGCAGGGGGAAAATGAGGGGGTGTGCAGGGCTGGGGTGTCACATTGTGCTGGGGCTCTGTCAGGCTTTCCCCTCTGCCTTGGCTGCTTTCCCTCCAGGGGCCCTGAGCCATGGCTGTGCAACTATTTAGTTAAATATTAAGAGGTCAAGTAATAGAGAACCAGAAACCTAGTTACACGCTGCCCTCCATGGCACAGTAGTTTTTGGCAAAAGCAAAGCAAACACGGCCCCTTGTGTTACAGGAAGGTTGTGCTGCTGCTGCTGCTGCTGCTGCTGCTGCTGCTGGAGGAGCGATGGCCAAAATCCAGCCAGACAGTGAGTGCTCATGGTAGTGAGCAGGCAGGAGCTGCCAGGCTGCTGCAGAGAGGCCACAGCCTCCCAACTGAGCCCAGTGCTCCCAGCAAGTTGTGGGGCCACCATACATCTCACACTTAACCCTGTCCTCCATCTCATGCCCAAAAAATAGCTGGAGCCATGCTGTGTTGGGAATAGCTTTATCTGGATACACCCCCCATCCATGGGGTAGTCTCTGTGGTCCCACCCCCCACCCCCCTGTCTGGAATCCAGGGCTCCTCCCCATCATGAGGCCGCTCTCCAGGCCTCCCTCAGCCTGGCCTTCACCTGAAACTTCTGCACCTGCAGCACAACACCAAACTTGCCCTCCAGCGAGGGCAGGGGCTGGTCCTCAGGGCACTCCAGTGTGAACCTCTGCAGCACCCAGGCCAGGAAGAGGAAGAGCTCCATCTTGGCCAGGACTTTTCCCAGGCAGACACGGATCCCAGCTCCGAAGGGGAGGTAGCTGGGTGAGGGTGAATGGATGTGCTGGCCCCGCTCATCCAGGAAGCGGCCTGCAAGGGGAAGGGGCACCCCTGGCATCAGCAGGCTGATCCTTCTGCCTGAGACCTGCCCGAGTTCATCAAGTGTCTGTCCCTCCCAGGAGCTGCAGGAGCAAGAGGTGCAAATGCCCCAGACGGGCAGGAGCAGGATCCAACCTCCCAGCACCCAGCCTCCCCCAGGGCTCAGCCCCTCCTGCTGCACCCACCCGGCCATCCCCTGGCCCAGGAGGGGATGAGGATCATGCAACCCACCAGGATTGAACTCCTCAGGCTTGTCCCACTCCTTCTCATCGTGGTGCACAGACCAGAGGTTGATGATGACCCTGGCACCCTTGGGGATGGAGTATTCCCCAATGCTGCAAAGCAGACACAGAGTGAGCCAGTCGCTCCCTCCCCACGGTCTCTGCCCATGACCTGGATGTGCCCCAGGGGGTCTCACCTGGTGTCAGCAAGGGACACGTGTGGGATGAGCAGGGGGGACACGGGCCGGATGCGCAGCACTTCACTGATGGTGGCCTCCAGGTAGGGCAGCAGCGGGCGGTCGCTGAGGTGGGGGTGACGCACCTGGCCTATCTTGTGGTCCATTTCCTCCTGGATCTTCCTCTGGATCTGGGAGGAAAGTAAAGACCATTGCAGGAGCCTGGGGAGCATGGTGCCCTGTGCACAGTGGAGTACACCCAGCATCATCTGCATGTCCTGTCAGCTTGTTGGGGCAGAAGTGCCCACAGCCTGATCCTGCTTATCTGCGGAGCCTAACTTCTCTTTTGGCACCTGCCTTCCCCAAAACTCCCCATGACGTCTCTGGTGCTGGAGGGAACCCAAGCCCCTGCTGTAGGGTGTAGACCCTACCTCAGGGTAGTGGAGCAGGTAGAGCACAGCCCATTTGAGCACAGTCGTGGTGGTCTCCACACCAGCCCCAAAGATGTCCCCCACCGTCATGAGGAGGTGGTCGTCAGTCAGCTCCAGCCCTGGCTCCAGAGGGCTGCTGTTCTCAGCACTGAGCCTCACTTGCAAGAGGGCATCCATGAGATCCTTCACAGTGTCTCCACAGAAAGCTTCCTGCCGAGGGACATGCATGAGCCAGGATGTCCTGGGCACAGTGCCCACCACCCCAGCCCCAGGATCTCCCTGTCCTGGCCCTGCTGGCACCTTGTGTTCAGTGAATTTCTGCTGGAGCAGCTGGTCCCGGACCTGGAGGCATTTCTTCAGCAGGGCCAGGTCTTTGTTGGGAAATATCTGAAGGAGCAAAGCACATTACAACAGTCTATAATTCAGCTCAGCCCAGCCCCTGCAGGCCCCCAGACAGTCACTCTGTGCCCACCAGTGTACTGGCTCTTGTGGGTCATCAGGACAGGGACTCTCCTAACTCAGGGGGGCTCCTACAGGACACATCCCAGCTCCTTCCTCGCATCTGAAGTGAGAGGAATGGGCAGTGCCCATGTTCCTGCTCACCTGGAGCCAGGGGAAGATGTCCACTAAGCTCTCCTTGGCCACGGTGTCCACGATACCCTGGCTGTACTCCAGCATGGCCTCAAACTCAGGGTCCCCACGCCGGTATGAGGAGTTGAAGCAGAGGGAGCAGACCACGTTGGTGACAGCCCGTGTGAGCTCGGGGGCCATGTCCAGGGCCGTGTCCTGCGCAGCGCTGAGCGTCTCGCACAGGGACGCAGCCTCCCGGCAGACTGGGGAGGAGGAGAGGCAGGCCAGGGGGTGATGAGGGAGTGATGATTGAGCCAAGGGGTGAAAGGGGCAGCTGGGAGCTGGAAGGAGGGGTCCCCTGCTCATTCAGAGTGTGCAGCCTGCAGAGGCCACCCACCAGGCAGGGCTAGCCCTGAGGGGCTGGGATGGGCAGAAGGGTCAATGCTGGGTGCTGGGGAGGAGCAGAGAGAACGGAGATGTGCAAGGATGTCCTCCTGGGGGGAGTGGGGGGCTGGCTCCGTGCCTCAGTCTCCCCATCTGTGAGTGAGTGGAACTAAAGTTCAGGGTAGAAAACACATGGAGAGGTATTGGTAAAGTACAGGGGATACAAGGAGAGGGACAGAGCCCCTGCCTGGCAAGCTGAGGGGATACCGGGGGACATGGGCTGAGCCACTGTCTTTCCTTGGTTCCCAGGAGATCAGGACACTTGAGAAGGAAACGTGCAGCGTGAGAGGGAACCAGAGCTGGGAGGGAGCCTGGGGTGGAGGGAGGCACTTACTGATCCTCTCGAGGGCCAGTGAGCCCTCCCCAAACATGGAGAGGGCAGTGTGCACCAGCTTGCGCTGGAACTTCCAGAGGGGCCCGTAACTGGCGAAGGCGATGTCCTTGCCCCCCCGGGACAGCAGGTCCGTGGTCACCTGAGGGACAGGCAGTCCCAGGGTCATCCCGCTGCAGGGCAGCCCCGCGGGGGATGGATGTTCATCTCACCCCATCCCAGAAATGGTCCGGGGGGGCTAGAGGTTACTGCAGGCAGGCAAAGCACAGGACGTGTGGTTTGCTTTCCCCCTGCCAAGGACTCATAATGCGAAGGTTAGGGGCTCTAGGATGCGCAGGGAACTTTAGGGGTGCCTGGTAGTACCTGAGCCCACATCCCCGTGCTCAGGGATGCCGCCAGCTGCACCCTCGGGACGGAGGATGACAGGGCTCCCTGCCCCGGGAACAGGGTCCGGAGGGGCCGCCCTGCCCTGGCTTGCTGCAGGCAGGATGGGGATGGGACACGGACCCTGCTGTGTGCCAGCGTCTTCCGTGGGCGCGTCCCCCTCCTCACCCCACGCCACAGTGGAAGGGGTCCCCAGGACCTGCTGCCGACTCACGGTGCGGGGCCGTCCGGCGAAGTCTTTGCCCTTCTTCAGCAGCACCTCCCTGGCGTGCCGATAGCTGTTGACCACCACCACGTAGTGGGAGCCCATCCAGAGGGCGTAGAGGCTGCCGTAGCGTCCCTGCAGGCGCCAGAGGCGCAGGTGGAGCTGGGGGTGGCCGGCCAGCTGCAGCAGGCTGCCGAGCAGCGGCAGGGCCGGCAGGCTGCGCGGGCGGCCCCGGCCGGAGCCCGGGCGGTCCCTGCGGCGCGCCAGCCGCCAGCTGCACAGCAGCGCCAGCGCCAGCAGCAGCGCGCCCAGCAGCGCCATGGCGGCCCGGCTGGCGGCTGCCCGCGGGGGGCCCTTATAGCGCCGGCGGGGTCGTCTCCTTGACTCTGAGGCGGGCTCGGCTCCTTATCGGGGGGACGAGCAGGGGGGAGCCGAGCGCTGGGCCCCTGCCAGCTCCGCAGCTGTGGGCGCATGGCGGGGGGCGAGGGCAGCGGGGCCACGGCCAGCCTGGGTGGCCATGGGGAGCTGCCGGGGGCCAGGGGATGCCCAGGGTCGGATCCGTCCTTGGGGTTCCATCCCCAGGGCCTTGTGGTGGGCCAGGGCTGCGGGGACAGCTCGAGGTCTGTCCTGGGTGTCGTGAGCGCAGCTGGGGGGTCTGGCGGGGCACTGCAATCCATCCCCGGCCGGGGAGCGGCACTGCAGATCCTGGAGGGAATGGGCAGCGCTAGAAATGTTGGTAAGCCCGGAGCATCCCTCATCATCAGCTCTTGTCAGTGCTGGGGAGACACGGATAGCACTGGACACCGCTGGGCAGCCCTTGGCAAGGCTGGTGAGCGACGGTCAGCCCCTGGTACCATTGCTCAGCCCTGGTCAGTACAGGGCAAGTACTGGCCAGGGCTGAGAACCCCTGGTCAGCGCTGGTCAGCCTTGGTCTGTGCTCGTCAGAGCTGGGCAACCTGTGGGTGTCTGTGCCCGAGGCGATGAGGTGTCCTGGGGGAGTCCTTTGGGAACTGAACCCCCTCCCGGCACTATCCCCGAACACCGCGGGCTCTGCGCCTTCCCAAGCCTTCAGGCCCCAGGCGCTCGCCGTAGCGGCTCCCGGGAGTAGGCGGGGCAGGGCGCGGGCGGAGTAAGATGGCGGCGGGGGGCGCGGCGGATGCCCAGGCGCGCTTTGGCCACTCGGTGAAGGGGCTCCTGACCGAGAAGGTGACGAGCTGCGGCACCGACGTGATCGCTCTCACCAAGCAGGTGCTGAAGGGCTCCCGTAGCGCCGAGGTGAGCGGCGGGTGCCGCTGGGCGGCGGATTTCAGGGCCGGCGCGGAGCGGGCAGGGCGGCGCAATGCCTGCTGGGTGCTGTAGTCCGAGAAGGGGACACATCCCCGTGTCTGGGCAGGGACGGGCACAGCGGGACCCGAATGCGGCTGGCAGCGCCTCGGCACTCCGGCGGTGGCAGGCGGGAGGGTGACTGCCAGCTCCTCGTGGTGGCAGGTGGGAGCGGTGCCTCAGGCGCTCCCGATGGATGTGTTGTCACGGCGCTGAGGTACTCCCCGCACGGTGTCACCCTGAGTGTCACCCTGCCAGCCGTCCACGGGGGCCTCGGGAAACGCAGAGCTGCAGCGTCTCAGCCTGCTCTGTACGTTTGCCTTGTAGCTCCTGGGTCAAGCTGCGAGAAACATGGTGATGCAAGAAGATGCCATCTTGCACTCGGAAGATGTAAGCTGTGTTCCTGTGCTCGAGCAGCAGTGTTTCTAGGGCGGGAGGAGAGGAGGGTGGTGAGAGCAGTTTGCAGCCGTGCTACCGGAGCCCTGGGGTGAATTACATGGCTTCAGGTAGCAGGGCTGGTGGCCAGAATAATTTAGTGCTTCCTCAGACTCAGTGCTGCTGGACTCCCGGTGTCCTGCAGGCTGCTCAGCCCTCAAGCTGTGCCCTCTCTGACACAAAGCTTGAGGGACTGTGGGCTGAAATAAAGCACTTTATCTCTGCCTGTCACTGGGAAAGGAGAGGCAAGTGTGCCACTGCTGGCAGCTACCAGCGGGGATGTTTTGGAGGCATTGCAGCAATACAGTGGTGGCTGTGCTGGAGGAACCCCTGGGCATTAGGACGGCTGCACTGTGATTTCTCTAGGCATTAATTCTTTGTTTTGTTCTCCACAGAGTTTAAGAAAAATGGCCATAATAACTACTCATCTACAGTACCAGTAAGTAGAGGACACCAGCAAATAGACATTCTCTCTTGGGGGCTGAGTGGATCCTTCAATCCTTCTCTGTTCTCCTTGAAGACTTTGCATGTAGCTGCCAGCCCAGACTGATCCCTCTTTTGCAGTTTTTCAAAGCTGAGCAGTCCTTGGAGCTCGAATTTTCCAGCCCTCTTCAGGCGGTTTTGGGGTGGGAGCTGAAATTTTTGCCTCCTGTTCACCGTGCACTGTGTCTCCCATAAGTGTGTATGATGCTTCTGGGACTAAGAAGGAGAAGGCAGTGCTGCTTCTGTCCCCCAGAACTTAATCCAGAAACACTCTGGAGTTTTGGCCTCTTGAGCCCTTGTTCGACATAATGTAAACCCTGACTGAGATTTTATTTTTCTAATGCTCTTTTTGTCTTTCCTTTTCTCATCTAGGCAAGAAGCAATTCAAAAGAAGTGAGTTCTGGGAGGACCTGGGGGACATGCATGGGGGGGTAGAAAGGGGAAGGTGACGGAGTTGGATGGGGGAAAGCAGAATGGAAAGATTTTTGCAGCTGCCTCTGAGGCAGATGCTGACCCAGCAGGATAACACTTCAGTATTGTGAAGAGATGGGTATTTGAATGAAGAGATGGGATTCATACCCAGGCTTCCTTTTGTTTCACTGGTGTAATGGAGCATGTAAGTTGCTTGTGAGAGGAGATGAGGGTGGTGGGGGCAAAGCTGTGTACAGCAGGGTGCATGAAGTGAGGTTTCCTTTGTGGGGACACAGCTGGGGCTCGGGGGACACCAGGGTTTCTCTTTGCTGTAGTGTCAGCTCTAGAGCTGCTCTGGTCCCTCGGGCACAGGCAGCACAGCACAGTCTGGGAGCAGATTTCACCATGAATCTCTTCTTGCTTGGTGCCCAGCGTGGAGCGCTCGTCAAACCTTCAGGACCAGCTGACTCACTTGCTGAAATGAAGGGGAGCTGAAGGCTCGAGGAAATCTCAACCAGCACTGAGGGAGTGAAGTGTTCTCCCCCATTCCAGCCCCTGGAGCTCAGAACTCTGTCTGGAGGGTGCTGGATGTCAGCTGGGATATGTGCAGGGTCTGTGCTTCTGGGCACATGGCCCCCTCTCGTGTGCCTGCATCCACACCTCTGCTCCAGAATGCTCACCTGCACACCCGCACCTGGCTGAAACAAACTTCCCTGAAACTTTGCTCTTCCCAATAATTCCTGTGTCTGCTTACTTCCAATGTAGTATGAAGTGCTCAGACCACCCCAGCACCCTTGGCAAGAAATGCAGAGTTGAGGCATGGCATTTAAATGAAGGTGCCTGCAGTTTGCCACTGGTCTGTATTTAGCCACAGAGGTGGCACAGAGTGCAGTTTATTTAGGGCATTTTAATCAGTGTGAGTTGCAAGTGCCTGGGTGGATGAAAGGTGCTTCAGTGTAGGCTGAGCTGGGACTGTAGGCCAGTCCCAGCACAGAATTTCTGAAGCCAGAATCTAAGCACACACATCTGCCAGTGGCCTAGCTGGACGTGGTTTGGCCATCATCCTCCTCAGAGGTTATCTTATTTTCCCCTCTGCCAGAGTTTGGAACATCATTCCTTTGCCAGCCCATATGTGCTGCATTTGGCCTTCAACTGCATTCCTTTTCCTGGGCTGCTGCTCCAGCTTTTGATGAAGCAGCCTTGGCTGTGGTGTGTGTTTGTATCTGGTTGGGAAGGTATCCAAAGTCCTGTCTGGGAAGCAGGCAAAGAGAGCATCAGGAGCTGGTGTGCTCAGTTCTACACTGCTCTGTTGTAGACTATTGAGCTGCTCACATCCAGAACCAGCTATAAATACTGTGTCTTGCTTTTGGTAAGTCACTTATCTAGAGCACTTGGAGTGCACGGGAAGCACTTGTTTCCCTGAGTGAGCTTTTCACCAGCTGATAGGAGCAGGCAGGCTGAGAGCTGACAAAGGCCTGCCACATTCCTGTTGGAATGCTGCTGGAGTCTGGCTCCTGTGCTGCAGAGCCTTCTCAGACTAGATTTCACCATTCCTGCCAGTATTTTTGCCTTGGGTGACATTCTGACCCCAGCTTTGCAGGTGCAGTTTGCTAATGAGAGTTTTCCCTGCGACTTGCTGGGAATAAAAGCTGTCCTGAACACCACCAAACCACTAGTCTGTCCTGGATTCTGTTGCTGGCGGTCCCTGTGCACTGGGGAGACTGTTTGGGATGGTGGGTCTCTGCCCCCAGGATCCCCCATTCTGCTTCAGCTCAGAGAGCTTTGCAGAGGGAGTGTGACCTTGCTGCAGGTGGCTCGTCCCTTCCAAAGTCCTGTCCTCTGCAGAGGCTACAGCAGTCCTGTAGCATTAAATTTGTGTCTCCCTGCCTTTGGGACAAGCGGGAACTGGCTGCACTGTGGAGGCGCAGAGCTGTTGGAACAGGCAGCGGGTGGGTTTGGGGGTGTGGGTGCAGGAAGAACCATGAGTGATGGCAGCGTGCTCAGCACGGGAGTGGGGCCAGCAGCCCTCACTGTGCCTGTGTCCTGCAGGGCCATGTGCCAAGGGCCTGGGCAGGCAGGAGCCGGCATCGGGCGGAAGCCAGGCCCGGGCAGCGTGGGATGCCGGGACAGCACAGGATACTGGGGAGGAGCGTGGCCCAGGCTGGGCAGAGTCCGGCTGAGGCCCTGCAGCTGGAGGCAGTAAGACACCCCAGGGCCTCTGCTGGGGCTGCCCTTGGGGCCAAAGCTCTGCAAAGCAGGGGAGGGGGATTTACCCTACAGGGAGCCTTTGGGGGCTCATCTCTCCAGGGCAACTGGGACTGGGTTTTTGCGGTGGAGGGATGTTGCCAGGTGCCCCTTGGAGCATCCTATTAGACTGCAAGTTTGGGGGGATTCTCAGGGCTCTGCTGGGGGAGAGCAAAAAGTGCTGTGGTATCTGGGGGAAGAGAGGGATTCAGAACTTTTGGGAGGACCTGGTATGGTGCCCATCCCTATGGTTTCAGCCACCAGCCCCACATTCCTGTTGCAGTGGCAGCTCCCAGCAGAGAGCAGATCCACCAGGAGGTGCAGGTAAGGAGTGTGGATGGGAGCTGGGGAGGGATGGGGCAGTTGGGCAGGGGGTGTGTGCCTGGGCTGTGCTAGAGTTCCTGCTGCCATTAGAGGATAAAGCTTGTTTCTGGGCCCAGATGAAAATGCCAGGTGCAGTTAGCAGATTTGCTCCTGTTTCACACAGGGGTGGGGGGTGGGACAACCTGACATTTCCCTGCCCTTGTTCCTTGTACCCTTCTCAGTCAGAGAAATGGTGGTTGCAGCCTGCAAAGTTACTGAAAATGAGAATTAAACTCCCTCCTGCACAAACACATCAGTGCGTGTCAGCAAAGGGAGCTGAGGAGGATGGGGGCAAAGGGATGCCTGATCTTACCATAGTTTTTGGCTAGGTGGAAATGAGAGTGCCAGTGCCAGAGGACGTGTGAACATGTACAGGCCGAGTGCAGGCATGGGCCCCATGGTTTGGAGCATAGGGACCTCCCAGGGCTCAACTTGGCACAGTTTAGTGGCCTCTGTCCTTCCCATCTCAGAACTACTATGGCAAAGAGCTGCAGAAGTCAGAGGACCTCAAAACCAATGCGTGCATCACGTCAGCCAGGCCTGTTTCGAAGCTGGTGAGAGATGCCCTGGAGCGCATCCATGAGGAGGTGGTGGCCAGGTAAACCCCAGGGTCTCTCCTCCCCTGCCACATCCCCATGTGCCATGGGGCACCTCCACCCAGCTCAGCTCAGGATCCACCCAGGTACTACGGCTGCGGTCTGGTGATCCCTGAGTTCCTGTCATCATGCCGGATTCTGGACCTGGGCAGCGGCAGCGGCAGGGACTGCTTCCTGCTGAGCCAGCTGGTCGGGGAGCAGGGCCACATCACCGGGATAGATATGACCAAGGGCCAAGTACGGCACAGATCTGGGGCTCCCCATCATCCTTCCAGCAGCACCTCACATCATTCCCTTCCTCCTGCCAGGTTGAGCTGGCGAAGAAGCACGTTGCCTACCACATGGATAAGTTTGGCTACCGAAAGCCGAACGTGGAGTTCTTCCATGGTTACATGGAGAACCTGGGTGATGCTGGACTGGCTGACGACAGCTACGATATTGTCATGTAGGTGCCATGCAGGGCAGTCACCCCCAGTCCTGCTGCGTCCTGGGGCTGTGGGCTGGGTCTGCATCTCAATGGGTCAGTGCTTCAGAAGCCTGTGTTAGGAAAAGGGAAATCCCAAGCCAGAGTCTGGGCTACAGTCTGGGAATATAAACTGCCCTTTTCATGGTCAAATTGGTGTTTCCAAATCCTGTGTGAAGTGATGGGACACACAGCAGCTCGTGGTGCTGAGTGTGCAAGAGGGTGCAAATAAGCCTTGATCTCCTCCCCCACAGCTCCAACTGCGTGATCAACCTTGCCCCTGACAAGAGGGCTGTGCTGCAGGAGGCCTTCCGTGTGCTGAAGGTGATGGTGCTGGTGTCCGTGGCAGCAGAGCAGGCTTGGGGTGGCCCTGTTGTTTGTCTGCCACTGAGAAACAGCAAATGGGATCTGGCAAAGCACGGATGCAGGATGGGATCAGGGGAGGACATCTCTGCGGGGGGTCCCAAGAAGGGTACGATTAGGGGGCTCCAAATTCTCCTTGCCCCTTTTGTCTCTTTGCTTCTTGAGGCCTCCCTTCACTCCTTGCTGCCCTCCAGCCCGGGGGAGAGATGTACTTCAGCGACGTCTACGCCAGCCAGCGCCTGAGCGAGAGCACCCGGAAGCACCGGGTGCTGTGGGGTGCGTAGGGCTGTGGCATGGGGGTGCCATGGCATGGGGAGACTGGACCTTGCCTCCATTCCCCATGTCTGTGGTCTCGTACCAGGAGAATGCCTGGCAGGAGCCCTGTACTGGAGAGACCTGTACAGCATTGCTGAGGAGGTGGGGTTCAGCCCCCCACGCCTGGTCACCGCCAGCCCCATCACCATTGGCGACAAGGAGCTGGAGGGCATTGTCGGTGAGGATCCAGCCAGGGAGGGCCAGCTCTGGGAAGCTGGGGGAAGCTCTGCTGGGATGCCAGCCCAAGTGTTCAGTGTCCAAGCCACCAACCTCTCCCTTGTAGGTGACTGCCGCTTTGTTTCCGCAACTTACCGCCTGTTCAAGGTGCTGGCTGGCAGCCGGACCGGGCCAGGACAGGCCACCTACAGTGGTGGGATTGTGGGGCATGAGCGGGAGCTGGTGTTTGATGCCAACTTCACCTTCAAGGTTTGGGGAGGCATGCTGAGGCTCTGTAGGGAAGAGTTAAAGCTGATGAAGCTGCTACTCAGCAGCATCCTCTGTGATCTAGGGGGCAAGCTTTGCTGGAGGGGATGGAGGGTGGGAGCCAAGGGGCTGTGTAAACCCAGGGGAGTGCAAATGTACAGGAAAGGGAGACACGCATGCATGGCTTTGTGGTAAAGGTAGAAGTAGGACATCCATGGTGGCTTCCTGGAATGGTTTCCTGATGCTTGGGTTTTGTGGGTGTTTCTTCAGGTTTTGGGCCAAGACGTGCTCCTGCTTTCACTCTCCCCATCATCTGGCTGGGTGGCTGGAGTCCCCTGGGACACATATCCAGGACCCCAGGCCTGTGACCATTCCTCTGCCCTCAGGAAGGAAAGGTGGTGAACGTGGATGCTGAGATGGCTGCAATCTTGCAGAGCTCCAGGTTTGCAGAGAAGTTCCTGATCCGAGCTGGTGGAGCCAACGCTGCAGGACTGCAGGGCTGCTGTAGCAAGGGAGTGAAGGTTGGTAGAGGGCAGCTCCGTGGCTGGGTTAAGTAACTGGGACATGGGTGTCCCAAGCCATCAGAGTTGCTATGGTGTATCAGAAGGGCTGTAGCATGATATCAAGATACATGTGACTCCTTCTGGGCTGGGCAGAAGCTCATGGGACACCAAGAGTGATTGATGCCTGATGCCTGAGTCGGGGTAAACTGTACCCCTACCCAAGCTGGAGCCCTCCAAAGGGGGATCTGCTCTAACTACCCCAACATGTCCATGGGGACTGGTGAGGCTGACAGCTGGACTTTTTTGAGATCTCCCAAGGGGAGTCATCCTTCCCCTGAGGGGATTGCTGTGCACAGCCTGCCCCAGGGAGATGATGACCCATTCCCATGGTTTCTTCCTGCCCATTGCCCTCCTGCCTGCTGATGGAAGAGCAGATTGGCCCTGGCTGCCAACCCTGACCCTGCAGCACACAGCTGGAAGACTGTCTCTTCTCCTTGGTGGTCCCTGCAGCCTGTAGATGGGCCAGGAGATACAAGTGAGATAATACCCTGCAGCTGCATATCCCTGAAATACAGCCTTGTGCTTGGGAAGGGGAGATTTTCTCAGGACTCTATCCAAGTAGGAGGCATTTCTCAGATAAAAGCAGAGCCAAAGTCACAGGCTTCTTCCTTGCTGCAGGAAAAACCAGCTGGGGTGACCCAGAGGCTGCCCCCCATGATAGCTAAGGAAGTGCCAAGTGTCATTTTCTCAGGTGCCTCTTGCTTCCCACTGGCCTGATCCTGCCCTGGGTTTTTCTCTGTCCTTCAGGAGAAAATCTGTGATCCCTTCCAGCTGCTGGAGCAGCTGAGAGCCCCAGGTCCTGCTAGCTGTTCTGGTGGCACCTGTGGTCCCCCAGGGTGCTGCTGAGTGGCAAGTGGTGTCCCCACACCGCTGTTGGAAGTCAGTGGAGTGAGAGGACGTGGCTCCAGTAACGTCTTCCACCAGAGAGCAAATAAATACATGTCTGAACTCAAAGGTTGTGTTTGTAGCTGCCACAGGGCTGTGGGTGCTGTGCTTCCCTGGCAGGGCTGGTGGGGCAGGTTGTGCCTGGTTGCAGTGAGGTCCCATCCTGTGAGTCCCCTCACCGTGGGGCTGACTGTGGCTGTGCATGGCTTGGGCACACAGCAGGGACAGTCTCTGTCTCACTTGCAGCCCTGCAGCCTGTTACAGGAGATGAAGGTTGCTCTCTCTTTCCCTGTGCAGCGCCACTGAGGTTTCTGTTTTCCCTGTTCTCCATCTAGTTGGAAAGCCCCGAGTCCCCTGCAGGCATTGCACCTGCAGAGTTTTGCAGGGAAATTCAGCAGTTCTGGAAAAGCAGAAATGCATCCAGCTGCATCCCACAGCAGGCAAAGAGCAAGGTGGGAGGGCTTTTAGGGTGTGGTGGGAGGTGATGGATTGCATTCCTGCTGCCCAGCATGAATCTCACAGGACCCAGCCCGCAGAAGGTACTTGGGAAAGGCTGAGAGCTGCTGAACAGCTAAACTTAGGACCATTTCCACCCCTTCACACACAGTGATTTTACAGGACGGGCCAAATTTCCCATCTCTGCCATTTAAACATCAACTTGCTGTGGTATGGGGGAAGTTAAGAAGCAAACCCCAATAAAATTTGGGTTCAAAAAGAAACAGGCCAACACCAAGGATGCTCTGTCATAGCAGCAGCAGTGGCTGAGGAGGGTCCAGGTGTTCAGGACACCTGAAATTGTTCTGAAATTGTGTGGAATGACCTCACTGATGGGACCTTGGGAGGAAGGAGCTGTTTAATACACACACCCAACCCCCAGCCCTTTTTCAAGATTACTTACAAAGACTTCATCCAAGTCCCCAAACAGTTTATCCTGGGAGGTTTGCAGCAATTAGCTCCTGCTATCAAAGACAGCCTTCCCAGTGGGAAGGGAAGAGCAGGTGGGGTGTGGGGGGGTCCTACCTGCAAATCCCTTCATTAAAAAGAGATGAATCACTGGCACGGTCTTTCAACTTGCCTGGGTAGAGCTGCACCCACAGCGAGGTCCCTTCTCTGTGCATACAGAAAAAGGCCACGGCTTAAATGCCACTACATTTGCATAGCACTATGTTTTTTCCAAATTCTCAGCATGTCAGGAAGGAAGCAGCTAAGAGAACTTGACTTTGATGCGGAGCATTAGAGGCCCTCGCCAGGCTGTGGGTGCAGTGGTGTCCTCTTTGCCTGGCTTCACTTGTGCATGCACAGCCTTGGGGTTTTTAGCCCTCAGTGTATGAAAAGAGGAAGTCCTGCAGCCCTATCCCGTGTGAGGGACCCCGACATAATCTGTCCAACACCCCAGTCTGTGTTTTGGTGATTGTTCTCCTAGTGTGAAGCTCTGCAGCATTGCTGTCCTCCCTCGGCAGGCAGAGAGGGTGTTGTGATGGCAGCATCCAGAGGTTGTGATGGTCTGATTCACTCTGAGGGGAAAGGGAAGGGTGTCGCTGTGGTTCAGGGACACCTGTCACCTCCTTAGCGAAGCAGGCCGGCAGAACTCCCTCAGGATAAGCTGAATGAGCTTTGGGACCAGGAAAGATTTGTGGCTACAGGCCCAGAGCACTGGGCTCTGCTTCACATCTTATGGGGTTGGCCTGCACAATTTATTCTTCAATTTTCCAAGCACTTCAAAAGCAGGGAGGCTGTTTTACCGCCTCTAAAGGATGTCAGCCACCACAAGCCACACCGGTTCTCCCACGGCTGTTTGTCTTTGGCTGTCCAGGATGCTGAACTGTTTCCTGGCTCCTTCGCGTGTGGTGGACATGGAGCCGGCTGCGGGGTGTGTGCTGCCCCAGCTGGGACTGCGGCACAGCAGCCGAGGCCTGGGGAACAGGCGGGCCCTCAGCGGTGGGCACGGCACACGGGAATTCACAGGTGCTTTCATGGATCGCGGCTCCCGGCCCTCATGAACTGAGAATGAGCGGAGCAGGGCAGCTGGGGCGGCTTTGGATGTCCTCAGCAGGAGCTCCAAACCCCGGCCCCGCTCACCTCCCGGGGCGGCGGAGCAGAGCAGAGGTGAGGGAGGAGCGCGGCCGGTCCGTGTTCGGTATTTAATGGTTAATTCCTCCCTCAGGCGCGACACAGCCGAGGAGATGTCGGGGCGGAGGGTGCCCTGAGACCTCAGTGCCACAGCTCGGTTTCTTGAATGTCGCACGTACTGCACCGGCGGCGGCTCGGGGCCGACCGGGAACGGGCAGGGCCAGGAGAGCCGCCCCCGCAGCGGCGGGTCCCGGCAGAGGCACCGGGGTGCGCCCCGTCGGGCCGGGCCGAAGGGGCGCGGCGGGACCGCCAGGGGGCGCTGCGCGACCGCCGACGGATGCGGCGCGCGGACGCGGGGCGGCGCTCCCGGGCCATTGAAGGGGGCGAGCGGCGCGGCGGTCCGAGGGGAGCGGCGGCCGCCGTGGGCCGAGCGGGAGCGGCGGGGGAAGCGGGATCGCCCTGTCCGTTCGGCCGCCCAGTGCCCCGGCGCGGGCGCTCCGGTACCGCTCCTGCCGCGCGCCGCGCGCGCCGGCCGCACCGCACCCCCATTGGTCGCGCCCCTCCTAAAGCTCCGCCCCCTTCGGCCCCGAACGCCGCCGCCATTGGCCGCGGCCCTACGGCCGGCCCCGCCCCCGCGCGCCCGGCGTACACACCGGAGTCACGCGCCCCCGGGGCCGGGGCGGGGGCGGGGCGCAGCGGAGGCGCGGCCTGGCGCTGATTGGCGGCGCCGAGCCCAGGCCCCTCCCCGCGCGGCGGGCGGGGCGGGGCGGGGCGGGCGCGGGTAGAGGCGGCGCTGCTCGGCCCGGCTCGGCAGTTGCCGCCCGTCGGGTCCCGCGGGCAGCCGAGCCCGCGCCTCGCCCGCCGCCGCCGCCGCGCCCGCCGCCACCGCCGCCGCCGGGGAAGCCGGGGCACGCCGCAGGCGCCGCGCGGTGATGCGGGGCCGCGGCGGCGCCGAGCCCTGACTAAAGATGGCCGCGCTGCCCGGTGGGAACATGGCGGGGGGCGGCCGGGGGGCGCGGGTGCTGCTCTTGCTGCTCTTGCTGCTGCTCGGCGGCTGCCTGGGCCGGCGGCCCCCGGCCGCCGCCGCTGCCGCACCGCCCGCCGCCGTCGTGCCCCCGCCGGCGGCGGAGGAGACGGTGATCATCGGCCTGCGGCTGGAGGACACGGACGACGTCTCCTTCATGGAGGGGGGCGCGCTGCGGGTGAGCGAACGGACGCGGGTGAAGCTGCGGGTCTACGGGCAGAACATCAACAACGAGACGTGGTCGCGCATCGCCTTCACGGAGCACGAGCGGCGGCGGGGCGGGCGGGCGACGGCGGGGCCGGCGGGGCGCGGCGGTGGCGGGGGCGGCGGCGGGGCGGCGGGCAGCGGCGGGGCCCCGCAGCGCTGCGGCATCCGCACCTCGGACATCATCATCATGCCGCACATCGTGCTCAACCGCCGCACCTCGGGCATCATCGAGATCGAGATCAAGCCCCTGCGCAAAACGGAGAAGAGCAAGTCCTACTACCTGTGCACCTCCGTCTCGGCCCCCGCCGCCGCCGCCCTGGGGCCCGGGGCTCCCGGAGGGCTGGCGGGCGCCGAGGGGCCCGCGGGACCCCCGCCCTGGGGTGAGACCACTTGGATCTACCATGACGGCGAGGACACCAAGATGATCGTGGGCGAGGAGAAGAAGTTCCTGCTGCCCTTCTGGCTGCAGGTCATCTTCATCTCGCTCCTCCTGTGCCTCTCGGGCATGTTCAGTGGCCTCAACCTGGGCCTGATGGCCCTGGACCCCATGGAACTGCGCATCGTGCAGAACTGTGGCACGGACAAAGAGAAGAACTACGCCAAGCGCATCGAACCTGTGCGGCGTCAGGGCAACTACCTGCTGTGCTCCCTCCTGCTGGGCAATGTCCTGGTCAACACCACGCTTACCATCCTGCTGGACGACATTGCCGGCTCTGGGCTGGTGGCCGTGGTGGTCTCCACCATCGGTATCGTCATCTTCGGCGAGATCGTGCCGCAGGCTATTTGCTCTCGGCACGGCCTGGCCGTGGGCGCCAACACCATCTTCCTCACCAAGTTTTTCATGATGATGACCTTCCCGGCCTCCTACCCCGTCAGCAAGTTGCTGGATTGTGTCCTGGGCCAGGAGATCGGCACGGTCTATAACCGTGAGAAGTTGTTGGAGATGCTGCGGGTCACCGACCCTTATAACGATCTAGTCAAGGAGGAGCTTAACATTATCCAAGGAGCCCTGGAACTGCGCACCAAGACTGTGGAGGATGTGATGACTCCCCTCCGAGACTGCTTTATGATCGCTGCCGAGGCTGTGCTCGACTTCAACACTATGTCTGAGATCATGGAGAGTGGTTACACCCGCATCCCTGTTTTCGAGGGTGACCGCTCCAACATCGTGGACTTGCTCTTCGTTAAGGACCTGGCTTTTGTGGACCCCGATGACTGCACGCCACTCAAGACCATCACCCGCTTCTACAACCACCCGCTGCACTTTGTCTTCAATGACACCAAGCTCGATGCCATGCTGGAGGAGTTCAAGAAAGGTGGGCTCGTGCCTGTGGTGGGGGCGTGCTGGGGAGGTGCTGCTGGGTGTGCTCAGCATCCACCTGCTAGCACCAAGGGAGCTCTGCAGCGGGGCCTCGGGTCTCTTCTCACAGAGGGCTGTGGGAAGGTGCATTCTGGACTGTGAGTGACCAGTATTTAGACATCTGCCAAATCTGCTTGTTTCCTGGGCCAGAAAGCTGATCCACGGCTGGGATGTGCCCCCAGCCTTTTTTCCCCCACTGCACTGGGATGTGTGTGTGGGCATGGTGCCAAGCAAGGTTGTTTTCCTTCTTGCTTTTTCCACTAATCTGTCTGTTATAGTGAGAACCACTGACGGGAATCTGCACCCATTTCTTGGCTGTGTCTTCTCTGTGCTTTTTCAGCTGGCCTGACTGGAAGGAGTGGGTGGGCTGCTTGGTGCCTTTCAGGCTCAGTGCATACACGTGCTGAG